AGTGCGGGAGAAGCGGCCAAAAAACCCCAGAATGCAGCAGAGAAATGCGCGGTTTGGGGAGGGTTTGTAAGGGAAATGGCCCCAAAAACCCGAATGCAGCAGAGAAATGCGCGGGTTTGGGAGGGTTTGTCAGGGAAATGGTCCCAAAAAACCCGAATGCAGCAGAGAAATGCGCGGTTTGGGGGGTTTGTCAGGGAAATGGTCCCAAAAAACCCGAATGCAGCAGCGGAATTCAGGTTTTGGGGGGTTTGTCAGGGAAATGGCCCCAAAAAACCCGAATGCAGCAGCGGAATTCGCTTTTTTGGGGGGGTTTTCAGGGAAATGGCCCAAAAAGGCCCAAATTCAGCAGCGAAATTCGCTTTTTTGGGGGGTTTGTCAGGGAAAAAAGCGGCTGGGAATGGCCCAAAAACGGCCGAATTCAGCACCGAAATTCACTTTTTTGGGGGGTTTGGGAGGGTTTTCAGGGAAAAAGCGGGGGAATGGCCCAAAAAACGGCCAAATTCAGCACCAAACTTCACCGTTTTTAGGGGTTTTGGGGGGGTTTTCAGGGAAAAGCGGGGAAATGGCCCCAAAAAACCCCCGAATTCAACAGCGAAATTCGCTTTTATGGGGGGGTTTTCAGGGAAAAGTGGGGAAATGGCCCAAAAAACCCCCAAATTCAGCAGCGAAATTCGCTTTTTTTGGGGGGGGGTTTGTCAGGGAAAAGTGGGGGGAATGGCCCCAGAGGAGCAAATTCTGCACCAAATTTCGGGTTTTGGGGAATTCCCAGGAAAAGGGGATCGGGAATGAACCAAAAGTGGCAAATTCTGCCCCAAATTTTCGGTTTTGGGCAAATTCAGCCCCAAATTTTCAGGGGTTTTGGGCAAATTCAGCCCCAAATTTCGGGTTTTGGGCAATTCCCGGGGAAAAGCGGCTCGGGGAATGAAACAAAAGTGGCAAATTCTGCCCCAAATTTTGGGTTTTGGGCAAATTCAGCCCCGAATTTGGGGGTTTTGGGGAATTCCCAGGGAAAAACAGCTCAGGAATGAACCAAAAATGGCAAATTCAGCCCCAAATTTGAGTTTTTGGAGGGGATCCCCAATCCATCCCCAAAACCCCAATTCTGCCCCAAATTCTGATTTTTAAGGCATTTTTGGGAGGCAGGAATGGGGGTTTTGGGGTGAATTCCAGGGTTTGGGCTCAATTCTCAGATTTGGGTAAAATTTGGGGTTTTTTGGAGAGAATTTCGGAGATTTTGGGGCCAACTTTGGTGGTTTTGGGGTGAATCCTCAGGTTTGGAGTCAATTCCTGGGGTTTTGGGGTGAATTTTGGGGGTTTTGGGGTGAATTTTGGGGTGAATTTTGGGGGTTTTGGGGTGAATTTTGGTGAATTTTGGGGTGAATTTGGGGTGAATTTGGGGTGAATTTTTGGGGTGAATTTGGGGTGAATTTGGGGTGAATTTCGGGGTGAATTTGGGGGTTTTGGGGTGAATTTCGGGGTGAATTTGGGGTGAATTTTGGGGTGAATTTGGGGGTTTTGGGGTGAATTTGGGTGAATTTTGGGGTGAATTTGGGGCATTTTGGGGTGAATTTTGGGGTGAATTTGGGGGATTTGGGTGAATTTGGGGTGAATTTGGGCATTTTGGGGTGAATTTGGGGCATTTTGGGGGTGAATTTTGGGGTGAATTTGGGGGTGAATTTTGGGGTGAATTTTGGGGTGAATTTGGGGTGAATTTGGGGTGAATTTGGGGTGAATTTGGGTGAATTTGGGGGAATTTGGGGGTTTTTGGGGCGCAGGCAGCAGCAGCAGCAGCATTGGGGGTTAGTGAGCACCAAGCCAGCGAAGCAGCTGGGAGGGAATTGGGCAGAAATGTTGGGATTTTGGGAAAAAAGGGCTGGGAAATGCCCAGATCCCAAATTCCCACCCCTGGGTCCAATTTTGTGCCCCTGGAAATCCCCAAATCCTGGGAATTCCGGAATCCAAAGAATTCCCAAATCCCATAAACCCAAAATTCCACAAACCCCAAATCCCACAACCCCAAAACCCACAAAAAATCCCCCCAAAACTCCCCAAAATCCCAAAAACCTCCCCAAAAATCCTCAAAAAATCTCCAAAAAAATCCCAAATAAATCCGAAAAAATTCCCCAAACAACTCCCAAAAATCCCCCAAAATCCCAAATAAATCCCCCAAAACTGTGAAAAAGTTCCCCTAAAAATTCAGTAAAATCCCCCCAATAAATGCCCCCCCAGAACCCCAAAAAAGTCCCCTAAAAATCTCAAAAAAATTCACTAAAAAATCCCTAAAAACTCCCAATAAATCCCAAACATTCCCCAAAAAATCCGCAAAAAAATCACTCAAAAACTTAAAAAAAATCTCCAAAAAATCCCCCCCAAAAAAGTCCCCCCAAACCCCCCCAAATATCCCCAAAATAACTCCCAATAATCCCTCATAAATCCTCAATAAATCCTCCAATAAATCCCCAAAAACTCCCAATAAATCCCCAAAATAACTCCCAATAATTTCCCCAATAAATCCCCAATAACTCCCAATAAATCCTCAATAAACCCCAAAAATCCCCAAAAAACCCCCCCAAAAATCCCCAAAAACTCTCAATAAATCCCCAATAAACCCCATTAAACCCCAATAAACCCCAATAAATCTCTCAATAAATCCCAATAACCCCCAATAAATCTCTCAATAAATCTCCCAATAAATCCCCAATAAATCCTGAAAAAACCCCCCAAATCCCCCCCAAAATCCCCAAAAACTCTCAATAAATCCCAATAAATCCCCAAAATAACTCCCAATAAATGCCCAATAAACCCCAATAAATCTCCCAATAAGTCCCCCATAAACCCCAATATCTCCCAATAACCCCCAATAAATCCCCAATAAACCCAATAAATCCAAAAAATCTCCCAATAAACCCCAATAAATCTCCCAATAAACCCCAATATCTCCCCAATAAACCCCAATAACTCTCAATAAACCCCAATAACCCCAATAAAACCCCAATAACCCCCAATAACTCCCAATAAATCCCCAATAACTCCCAATAACTCCCAATAAACCCCAATAAACCACAGTAATCCCCAATAAATCTCCAATAACTCCCAATAAATCTCCAAACACTCCCAATAATTCCCAAAAAAATCCCCCAAAAAATCCCCCAAAAATCCCCAATAACCCCCCAATATCCCCCAATAACCCCAAAAAACCCCAATAAATCCCCCAATCCCCCCAATATCCCCCATCATCCCGGCGCGTTTGCGGCGCACCTGCTGCAGGAACATGGGCACCCCGTCCTGCCCCATCACCGCGGTGCTCGTTGCCGCCGGTGCCGTTCCCAGCAGGATTTTCTCGGGGCTGCCGGCCAGGCCGGGGCTGGGCTGGGCGGTGCCGGTGCCGGCGTCGCCGGGGGGCTGCGCGGTGCTGCCGGCGCTGCCAGACCCGGGCCCGGCCTCGGCGCCGGGGCTGCCGGCGGCCCGTTTGGATGCTGACGGCGGCGCCCAAACCGTCGCCGGCGTTGAGCATGGCCACGGGGCTGGCCAGGGTCACCCCTTGGATCACCGTGGGCGCCGCCGCCCGCCGCCGCCGGGGCCGAGCCGGGGCTGGGCAGGGGCCCGGCCAGCGACACCGGCATCTGGAAGAGCGCGGGCGCCGGCTGGCCCGGCTGCAGCTGGATGGGCGCCGCCGACAGATGTGCGCCGTGCCCGCCGCGCCCGGCGACGCCAGCACCGGGCCCAGGTTCAGCTGCCCCGGCCAGGTTCTGGTTGAGCAGCTGCGCCGGCAGGGCGGGGTTGGCCAGCAGCTGGGGCGGCGCCGGCGCCTTGGCCGGCGATGATGTGGGCCTGGCCGGCGCCCGGCAGGAGCTGGCCGCCGACGTTGGCCGGCAGCGCCGAGAGCGGCTGCGGCAGCGGCACCGAGGCGCCGGCCAGCTGGCCCGGCAGCAGGAACTGGTTCTGGCCCTGGAAGGGCTGCGCCGGGATGACGATGGAGCCGCCCTGGGTTGAGCACGTGCACGCTCATGGATTTGCCCAGCGCCGCCGGCTGCGGCGGCGGCGGCTTGAAGACGTTGGGGGGGAAGAAGCCCTGGAGCACCACGTTGGGCGCGGCCTTGCCGGCCATGAAGGTGAGGTTCTGCTGCGCCTTGGCCGGCGCCTCGCCGGGCAGCGCCAGGGCCCCGCCGGGCGCGAAGGGCTTGGGCGTGATCTGGTAGAGCTTCTGCTGCAGCACGCCGGCGGGCTTGGGCTGGATGGGCGTGGGCGTGCGGTGGATGATGACGTTGGGCGCCGGCACCAAGGAGCCGCCCAGCCCCGAGGTGACGGTGAGCGGCTGCGCCGACGCCGCCGAGACGCCGCCGAACACCGAGCTGCCGTTGAGCGTGGTGGTGGCCACGGCCGGGAGGCTCTTCTGGATCACCAAGCCCGCTCCCTGCGCCGCCGCCGCCGCCTCGGGCTGGGCGATGTAGCCGCCCACGGCCGCCACGGGCGCCGGCTTGGCCAGCAGCTGCGGCGCCGCCGGCTGGTTGATGGCCATCACCTGCTGGCCCACCACCTGGATGGGGCCCAGCCCCAGCGCGCCGCCGGGGCTGCCGTTGGGCAAGCCGGGCAGGTTGGGCAGCGGCTGGATGGTGACGTTGCCCAGCCCCACCTGCTGCAGGAAGGGCTGCACGCTGATGGCTTTGTTGACCACGTCCGGAGGCTGCACCAGGGCCTGCGGCGCCAGCACGGCCGGCGGCTGCAGCCCCAGCAGGTCGGCGCCGCCCGAGAAGATCTGGGGCGTGCCGTCGGCCGCCTGCACCACCGGCTGCAGCGCCGGCAGCTGGAAGGAGCCCAGGTCCAGCTCGGCCTCGGCCTCCAGCGTCTGCTCGGTGATGTTGGCCTCCTGCAGGCTCTGCTGGAGGATGTCGCACGGCTGCTCGGCGCCCGCGCCGGCGCCGCCCGGAGAGCCCAGGATGTCATCCTCCAGGAAGTCCAGGTCCACGCTGGCCGGGGGCTGGCTGGGCTCCGAGCTCAGAGGGTTCCCCGAGGCCTCCTGGCCGTGCAGCTGCGGGGACGGCAAAGGGGCAGGGGTTAGATGGATGGGGGGTGGAGGTGAGAGGGGTTTGGGGGGCTCGAGGGAGCTCAGTGGAACCCAACTGAATCCAACAGAACCCAACGGAACCCAACTGAGCTCAAAGGAACCCAACGGAGCTCAACAGAGCTCAATGGAACCCAACAGAACTCAATGGAACCCAACTGAACCCAACGGAGCTCAATAGAACTCAGTGGAACCCAACAGAACTCAATGGAACCCAACTGAACCCAACTGAGCTCCACAGAACTCAGTGGAACCCAACTGAGCCCAACGGAGCTCAACAGAACTCAACGGCACCCAATGGAACCCAAATGAACCCAACAGAGCTCAATGGAACCCAATGGAGCTCAGAAGGGTTTGGGGGACCCAATGGAACCCAACAGAACCCAGTGGAGCTCAGATGAGTTCAGGGGACCCAACGGAGCTCAGAGGGGTTCAGAGAGACCCAACTGAGCCCAATGGGGCCCAATGGAACCCAACAGAACCCAATGGGACCCAACTGAGCCCAACAGAACCCAATGGGACCCAACGGAGCTCAATGGAACCCAATGGATCTCAGAGGGGTTCAGAGGGACCCAACTGAGCTCAACAGAACCCAATGGGGCCCAATGGAACCCAACAGAGCCCAACAGAACCCAATGGGACCCAACTGAGCCCAACAGGACCCAATGGGACCCAATGGAACCCAACAGGACCCAATGGGACCCAACTGAGCCCAACAGGACCCAATGGGACCCAATGGAACCCAACAGGACCCAATGGGACCCAACGGGACTCAACAGAACCCAACGGAGCTCAGAGGGGTTCAGGGGACCTCAATGGAACCCAAGAGAACCCAATGGAGATCAATGGGACTCAACAGAGCTCAACAGAACCCAATGGGACCCAACAGGACCCAACACGGGGTTTTCCAGGAAATCTGGGGGAGATTTCTCCCAAAATCCAGTGGGGTTTTCCCAGGAAATCCAGGGAGATTTGCCCCAGAATTTGAGGGGCTTTTCCTGGGAAATTTGGAGTTTTATTCCCAGGAAATTTGGAGTTTTTTCCTGGGAAATTTGGAGGTTTTTTCCCAGGAAATTTGGGGTTTTTTCCCGGGAAATTTGGAGGTTTTTTCCCAGGAAATTTGGGGGTTTTTCCCAGGAAGTTTGGAGGTTTTTTCCTGGGAAATTTGGGGTTTTTTTCCTGGAAAATTTGGAGGTTTTTTCCCGGGAAATTTGGAGGTTTTTTCCCAGGAAATTTGGGGGTTTTTCCCAGGAAATTTGGAGGTTTTTTCCCAAGAAATTTGGAGTTTTTTTCCTGGAAAATTTGGTTTTTTTTCCCGGGAAATTTGGAGGTTTTTTCCTGGAAAATTTGGTTTTTTTTCCTCGGGAAATTTGGAGGTTTTTTCCTGGAAAATTTGGGGTTTTTTCCCGGGAAAATTTGGGTTTTTTTCCCGGGAACTTTGGGGTTTTTTTCCGGGAAATTTTGGGGTTTTTTCCCGGGAATTGCACCCAAAAAGCAGGAAAAGAGGGGAGGGGAGGCCACACCCACCCCGGCCCCCTCGAAGAAGGCGCTGGCGGCGTCCCCAGAGTTGTCCAGGAGATCATCGCTGTCAATCTGCAACGGAAACGGGGAAAATGAGGGGGAAAACGGGAAAAATGAGGGGAAATGGGGAAATTACCAGGAAAATGGGGAAAAATGAGGGGGAAATGGGAAAAACTGAGGGGAAAATGGGAAAAAAAATGGGGAAAAATGAGGGGGAAATGGGAAAAACTGAGGGGAAAATGGGAAAATTACAGGGAAAATGGGAAAAAATGAGGGGGAAAATGGGAAAAACTGAGGGGAAAATGGGGAAATTACCAGGAAAATGGGGAAAACTGAGGGGAAATGGGGAGAAACTGAGGGGAAATGGGGGAAAATGGGAAAAACTGAGGGGAAAAATGGGAAAAACTGAGGGGGAAATGGGGAAATTACCAAGAAAATGGGGGAAAACTGAGGGGAAATGGGGGAAACCTGAGGGGAAAATGGGAAAAACTGAGGGGTAATGGGAAAACTGAGGGGAATTTGGGGAAAACTGAGGGAAAATGGGAAAAAATCAGGGGAAAAGTGGGGGGGAATGGGGGAAAATCAGAGAAATGGGGGGAAAAATGGGGAAGAAAATGGGAGAAATGGGAAAAATGGAGGGGGAAAAACGGGGAAGAAATGGGGGGAAATGAGGGGAAAATGAAAATAATTCAAAAAAAATGGAAAAATGGGGGAAAAATTGGGGGAAAATGAGGGAGACGGGGAAAGAATGGGGGGAAATGGGGAAAAAAAAGGGGAAAAATGTGGGGAAATGGGAAAATATGGAGGGAAATGGGGGGATTTTTTAATGGAAAAATAGGAATTTTTTTAAGGGAAAAATGGGATTTTTTAAATGGAGAGTGGGATTTTTTCAGGAAAAATGGGATTTTTATTAGAAAACATGGGATTTTTTCAGGAAAAAAGGGATTTTTTCAGGAGAAATGGGGATTTGGGGCATTTGGGGGTGCTCACCTTCTCGGATCCATGGAGGAAATCGTTCAGGGCCTGCGGATCGCTGGGGAGAGATTGGGGAGGAGCCTCAGGGGGGGAATCCCGGCAGAATTTGGATTCCTCGCCCTCCCTGGCCCAAAATTCCCTTTTTTGGGCCATTTCCCTCCTTTTTTGGGCCATTTCCCTCCTTTTTTTGGGCCATTTCCCTCCTTTTTTTGCCCATTTCCCACCTTTTATTTTTACCATTTCCCACCTTTTTTGGGGGCCCTTCCCACCCTTTGTTTCCCCTTTCCAGCCTTTTTTTGGGGACCATTTCCCTCCTTTTTTGGGGACCATTTCCTCCTTTTTTGGGGACCATTTCCCTCCTTTTTGGGGTCATTTCCCATCTTGTTTTTTGATCCATTTCTCACCTTTTTTTGCCCATTCCCTCCCATTTTTTTTTGAACCAAATTCTCACCTTTTTTGGGGTCATTTCCCTTCTTTTTTTTTGCCTGTTTCCCACCTTTCTTTGGGACCATATCCCAGCTTTTTTTGATCCATTTCCCTCAATTTTTTGGGTCATTTCCCACCTTTTTTTGGGGCCATTTCCTGCCCATTTTTGGGTCCTTTCCCACCCATTTTTGGACCATTTCCCTCCTTTGTTTTTTACCATTTTCTGCCTTTTTTTGAGCCATTTCCCACCTTTTTTTTTGGGCCATTTCCCGCCCATTTTTGGGCCATTTCCCTCCTTTCTTTTTACCATTTTCTGCCTTTTTTGAGCCATTTCCCACCTTTTTTTTTGGGCCATTTCCCGCCCATTTTTGGGCCATTTCCCTCCTTTCTTTTTACCATTTTCTGCCTTTTTTGAGCCATTTCCCACCTTTTTTTGGGACCATTTCCCGCCCATTTCTGGGTCATTTCCCGCCCATTTTTGGACCATTTCCCTCCTTTTTTTTTACCATTTCCCACCTTTTTTTTGGGGCCATTTCCTGCCCATTTTTGGGTCATTTCCCACCCATTTTTGGGCCATTTCCCTCCTTTCTTTTTACCATTTTCTGCCTTTTTTTGGGCCATTTCCCACCTTTTTTTTTGGGCCATTTCCCGCCCATTTTTGGACCACTTCCTTCCTTTCTTTTACCATTTCCCGCCTTTTTTTGGGGGCCATTTCCCGCCCATTTTTGAGCCATTTCCCTCCTTTTTTTACCATTTCCCTCCTTTTTTTTACCATTTCCCACCTTTTTTTTGAGACATTTCCCACCTTTTTTTTGGGTCATTTCCCACCCATTTTTCCCCATTTCCCTCCTGTGTTTTCCCCCATTTCCAGCCCCGTTTCCCAGGTGAATTCCAGCAGATTCCAGAACATTCCGGCCTCACCAGATGACGTCTAACAGGCACCGGCCGTCTTCATCATCCATGACAACTGCGAGGAGAGGCAGCGTCAGCGCCCGGAACCTTCCGGAAAACCCCCGGGGCCTTCCCCCCTTGGGGCAGGGGAAACCCCAGGGAAATCCCCAAAGTCTCAGTTTTGGTGGGAATTCTGGGGGAAAATCCCCAAAATTCGCATTTTTGTCACAGTTCTGGGGAGAAAAATCCCCAAATTCTCATTTTTGTCACAGTTCTGGGGAGAAAAATCCCCAAATTCTCATTTTTGTTGTGGTTTTTGAGGGAAAATCCCCAAATTCTCATTTTTGACGTGGTTTTGGGGGGAAAATCCCCAAATTCTCAGTTTTTATTTGGTTTGGGGGGAAATTCCCCAAATTCTCATTTTTGTCACAGTTTTGGAGAGAAAAATCCCCAAATTCTCATTTTTGTTGTGGTTTTTGGGGGGAATCCCTGGGAAAATTTCTGAGTTTGGGATTCCCCAGTCCCAGTTTGAGCCCTGGAATGGGACTGGGGGGGGATTTACTCCAGGGATACTCCAGGGATACTCCAGGGATACTCTGGGTTTGACCTCTGACCTCTCACTCAGGGGATACTCCAGGACCTGGACCTCGAACTCTGGGGATACTCCAGGATACTCCGGGGATACTCCAGGGATACTCCAGGGATACTCTAGGCTGGAATTCCAGCCCCAAGCTCCCACTCAGGGTTACACACGGCACAGATTCCATCCCATACTCAGGGGATACTCCAAGAATACTCCAGGGTTACTCTGGGGTTACTCAGAGCCTCATTCCCAGCATCCTGCCCAATACTCCAGGGATACTCTGGGGATACTCCAGGCTGGAATTCCAGCCCCAAGCTCCTACTCAGGGGTTACACACGGCACAGATTGCCCACCATACTCAGGGGATGCTCCAAGGGGTTACCCTGGGGGTACTCCAGGAATACTCCATGAATACTCCGTAGTTACTCTGGGTCTACTCCAAGAACACAACAATGACACTCTGGGGTTACTCCATGGATACTCTGGGGTTGCTACAGGGTTACTCCATAAACACCACACCAATATCCTGGGGTACTCTGGGGTTGCTCTGAGGTTACTCCAGGGTTACTCCAGGAATACTCCCATAAACACAACACCAATACCCTGGGGTCACTCAGTGAATACTCCAGAGTTACTCTGGGTCTGCTCCAGGAATGCTCCAAGAATACTCCATAAATACACCAACAATACTCTGGGGTTACTCCATAAATACACCGGCAGTACTCCAGGGATACCTGGGGTTACTCCATGAATACTCCAGGGTTACTCTGGGGTTATTCTGGGGTTACTCCAGGAATACTCTGCTGTTACTCCGCCGTTACTCTGGGGTTACTCCAGGCCCCAGCCCAGCCCCATCCAGGCTGGAACCCCCAGAATTCCCCTCCCCCTTCCACCCCTCTCCGTGCCTCAGTTTCCCCAGAAACACCAAAAACCCCAAAATTCCACAAAATCCCCCAAAATTCCCCCCCAAACCCCCAGAATTCCACAAAAAAAAAAATCACCAGAATTCCACAAAAAAACCTCCAAAATTCCCAATAAAAGCCTCCAGAATTTCCCAAAACCCCCCAGAATTCCCAAAAAATCCCCCAAAATTCCCCCCCCAAACCCCCAAAATTCCACCAAAAAAAATCACCAGAATTCCACCAAAAACCCTCCAAAATTCCTGAAAAACCGCAAAATTCCCAATAAAACTCTCCAGAATTCCCGAAAAACCCTCCAGAATTCCGAGAACATCCCAGAAATCCCCAAAAGTCCCAGAATTCCCGAGAAAGCCTGGAAAAGGCCCCGAGGGAGGAGCAGGGAGCGCCGATTCTTGGGGAGAATTCCCGGGATTTTGGGGCCAATTCCTGGAATTTTTTGGGATTTTTTTGGGATTTCAGGGCCCTGGGAGGGGGGAGGGGAAATCCCAAATTCTGAACCTGAGCGGGGGGAGGGGAGAGGAGGAGGAGGAGGAGAGGAAGGGGAGGAAGGGCAGGACAGGCAGGGGCAGCTCCAGAACTGAACCACTGAGGATGAGGAGGAAGAGGAAGGGGAGGAAGAAGAGAAGGAAATGAGGAGGAAGAGGAGGAAGAGGAAGATGAAGAGGAAGAGCAGAAAGGGGGGAACAGGCCAGGGACACCCTGAGGATGAGGAGGATGAAGGTGAAGATGAGAAGGAAATGAAGAGGAAGAGGAGGAGGAAAAGGAGAGGAAGAGGAGGAGGAAGAGGAGGAGGAGGAAGGCCAGAGACGGAGCCAGAGCTGGGACATTCCCGAAGCAGCTCCCGAGGAAGAGGAGGAGGAAGAACGGGAGGAAGAGGAGGAAGGGCAGAAAGGGGGGAGCAGGCCAGGGGAAGCCTGAGGATGAGGAGGATGAAGAGGAGGAAGACGAGGATGAAGAGGAGGAAAAGGAAAAGAAGAGGAGGAAGAGCAGGATGAAGAGCAGGAGGAAGAGTGGGAGGAAGAGGAGGAGGAAGAGGAGGAGGAAGAGCAGGACAGCTCCAGCCCCAACCCCAACAGCAGCCGCTCCCCAGGGAGGATGAGGAGGGGATGAAGGCCACGCACCCTCGGCCCAGCTCCTTCCCAGAGCCCTGAGGAGGAGGAGGAAGGGGAGGAAGAGGAGGAGGAGGAAGGACCAAAAGAGGATGAGGAAGATGAGACAGAGCAGGGTGAGGAAGATGAGGAAGAGGCACAGGAGGAAGAAGCAGAGGAGGAAGAGGAGGATGAAGAAGGGGCATGGGAAGAGGAGGAAGAGGAGGAAGAAGAGGCAGAAAAGGAAGAGCAGGAGGCAAGAGAGGGGGGAGTGAAGATGAGGAGGCAGAGCCAGACAAGGATGAGGAAGAGCAGGGTGAGGAGGAGGAAGATGAGGAGGAAGAAGCAGAGACAGAGCAGGACGAGGAAGAGGAAGATGAGGACGAGGCAGAGGCAGAGAAGCTGAGGCAGAGGAAGAGGAGGAAGAAGAGGCAGGGGCAGAGGAAGATGAGGAAGGGGCAGAGGAGGAAGAGCGGGGTGAGGATGAGGATGAGACAGAGGAAGATGAGGAGGAAGAGGCAGAGACGGAGCAGGACGAGGAAGAGGAAGATGAGGAAGAGGCAGAGGAAAAGGAGGAAGAAGAGGTAGAGGAAGATGAGGAAGAGGCAGAGAAGCTGAGGCAGAGGAAGAGGAGGAAGAGCAGGATGAGGATGAAGAAGAGACAGAGGAAGATGAGGAGGAAGAGACTGAGGCAGAGGAAGAGGAGGGTGAGACAGAGCACGGTGAGGAAGAGGATGAGGAGGACGAGGATGAGGAAGAGGAAGCAGAGCAGGGGGAGGAAGAAGAGGCCGAGGAAGAGGAAGAGCAGGGTGAGGATGAGGAATACGGGGAAGATGAGGCAGACACAGAGCAGGGGGAGGAAGATGAGGGTGAGGAAGGCTCCGGCCGCCCCGCCCGCCCCGCCGCCAGCAGGAGGAAGAGGAAGAGGAAGAAGAGCAGCAGCACAGGAGGAGGAGGAGGAGGCCGAAGGCCCCACCCCGCTCCCCTCCCCCCCTATCCCGGTGGGACCGGGCCCGAACGGCCCCGCTGGGGGTGGGGGAGGGGGTGGGGGAGGGGGTGGGGGAGGGGCCCCGCCCCCCCTGTCCCGGTGCGCGCGGGGGGGGGGGAGGGGAGGGGGGGAGGGGGCGCGGCGGCCCCGTGAGGGGGGAGAGGAGGGGGGGGGGGAAATCCCGGCCTGAGGAGGGGGGGGGGTGAGGGGGCGCGGCCGCGCTGTCGCCGCCGCTGTCGCGACAGAGCCGCGATTCGGGGCCGTTTCGGGGCTTTTGGGGATTTTGGGGATTTGGGGGATTTTGGATTTTTAATTTTTTTTTTTTTTTTTTTTTTTGTGGCGGACTCACCCGTGAGGCCTCAGCGGCGCCCGGCGCGGGGGTCTCCCAGGCGCCCCCGCACGGGCAACGCCGCCAGGACCCCGGCGGGCCCCGCCGCTTAGGGGTTCGCGGCGATGCCTGATCGCGGCCGTCACATCGCCGCCGTTCAACGCGGACCGGAAACGACCGGGAGGGCACTTGGAAAGGTCAGGGGGGGTTTAACGGGATCCCCTCTCTCTGTACCGGGCCCCCCCTGCGAAAGGACGGGGAGGAATTGATTAGCATAAACCGCGCCCCCGGACAGGCATTAGAATAGACACGCCCCCGCGCTGGCGCCTCAGCGGCCAAGCCCCCCCCGTGAGGGACCTCTCATTTGAATAAACCACGCCTAGCAGGGTGGGTATTAGCATAAACGACGCCCACTAGTCTGGATATTAGCATAGACCACGCCCCGATGCGCAGCGAGCCAGGCCTGGGTGCTTCATTTACATAGACCACGCCTCATCACAAACCGTCGACAACCCCATACTCTTAATTTGCATAAGCCACGCCCCCACAAGCCGTAAATCATCACAAACCACGCCCCCAACACTGAGTTATGCCCGTCCCCTCTGCGCGTCCTGATTTGCATAAACCACGCCCACACATCGCTCTCCTCAGTCCTCCCGCCCGCCAGGGGGCGCCACGCGCTGCGGAGGGGGGCGCTCCCCGTCACGTGACGCGGCGCGGGGGTCACGTGGGACGGCGGCGGCGCCGTCATGGCGGCCATGGCGGCGGAGAAGGAAGCGGAGGCGCAGCGGTTGCTGAGCGAGGCCGAGCGGAAGGTCCGGGGGGCTCAGTCCTTCCTCGGGGGCCTCTTCGGGTGAGTGCGGGGGGGAACGGGGCGGGCGGCGGCGCCGGGGAGGCCGCGGGAGGCCTGAGGGGAACGGGGGGGAAGGGGAGACAGGGAGGCCTGAGGGGGGAAAGGGCGGGAAAATGGGGGGGAAAAAGGCGGGAATTGGGGGAGTCGTGAGGGGAATGTGGGGGGGGCGAGGGGAATTGGGGTGCGGGAGGGGAATTGGGGGGTTCTGAGGGGGAATTTGGGGGGTCCTGAGGGGGAATTGGGGGTGGAGGAGGGGAATTGTGAGGGGAATTGGGGGTGGGGGAAGAGAATTGGGGGGTCCTGAGGGGAATTGGGGGAGTCATGAGGGGAATGTGGGGGTGGCGAGGGGAATTGGGGTGCGGGAGGAGAACTGGGGGGTCCTGAGGGGGAAATTTGGGGATTTTCTTGAGGGGGGCACCCAAAATTCCCCCAATTCCCCTTTTCCCACCGCAGTTCCTTCCCCACCACCCAGAATTCCCAAAGTAATTCCCTTTTTCCCCAGACAAACTCCATTTTTCCTGGAATAATTCTGGTTTTATTCCCCAGAATTCCCAGAGTAACTCCCAGAATTCCCATTTTTCCTGGAATAATTCCCATTTTTCCTGGACTAATTCCCATTTTCCTGTTCCCCAGGGGTTCCTCACGCCTGGAGGAGGCCTGTGAGTGCTACACCCGCGCTGCCAACCTCTTCAAAATGGCCAAAAACTGGAGCCGTGAGTCGGGCCAGGAAAACTCCCATTCATTACCAATTAATGATTGATTGATTCCTGATATTTATTCCACATTTTTCCATCTTTTTCCCTGGTTTCCAGAGGCTGGGGCTGCCTTTTCCGAGTGCCTCAGCTGCAGAGCAAACCCCAGCCCCATCACTGACCCCATCACTGACCCCATCAATTCTCATTAATTGTTAATTAATTCCCAATGAATTCCAGGTGTTAATTTTGTATTTTCCCCTGTTCCCAGAGGCTGGGGCTGCCTTTTCCCGAGCACCTCAGCTGCAGCTGCAGCTCCAGAGCAAACCCCAGCCCCATCACTGACCCCATCAATTCCCCATCAATTCTCATTAATTATTAATTAATTCCCAATGAATTCCAGGTGTTAATTTTGTATTTTCCCCTGGTTCCCAGAGGCTGGGGCTGCCTTTTCCCGAGTGCCTCAGCTGCAGCTGCACAGCAAACCCCAACCCCATCACTGACCCCATCAATTCCCCATTAATGACCCCATCAATTCTCATTAATTCTCATTAATTCCCAATGAATTCCAGGTGTTAATTCCATGTTTTTTCCTGTTCCCAGAGGCTGGGGCTGCCTTTCCCCGAGTGCCTCAGCTGCAGCTCCAACCCCAACCCCATCACTGACCCCATCAATTCCCCATTAATTCTCATTAATTATTAATTAATTCCAGGTGTTAATTCCGTGTTTTTCCCGGTTCCCAGAGGCTGGGGCTGCCTTTCCCCGAGTGCCTCAGCTCCAGAGCAAACCCCAACCCCATCACTGACCCCATCACTGACCCCATCAATTCCCCATCAATTCTCATTAATTCTCATTAATTCCCAGTGAATTCCAGGTGTTAATTCCGTGGTTTTCCCTGTTCCCAGAGGCTGGGGCTGCCTTTTCCCGAGCGGCTCAGCTGCAGCTCCAACCCCGATCAATTCCCCATCAATTCTCATTAATTATTAATGAATTCCAGGTGTTAATTCCATGTTTTTTCCCGGTTCCCAGAGGCTGGGGCTGCCTTTTCCCGAGTGCCTCAGCTCCAGAGCAAACCCCAACCCCGTCACTGACCCCATCAATTCCCCAGCACTGACCCCATCAATTCCCTATCAATTCTCATTAATTATTAATTAATTCCAGTGAATTCCAGCTGTTAATTCCATGTTTTTCCCTGTTCCCAGAGGCTGGGGCTGCCTTTTCCCGAGCAGCTCAGCTGCAGCTGCAGCTCCAGAGCAAACACGACGCCGCCACCAATTTTGTGGACGCCGGCAACGCCTTCAAGAAGGCTGATCCACAGGGTAGGGGCTGGGAATGGAGGAATTTTGGGGAATTTGGGGAATTTTGGGAATTATCTGGGGGGCTGGGGGTGTGGGGGAGGGAATTCTACTGAAATCCCACTGAAATTCCCTTAAAATCTCACTAAAATCCATTAAAATCTCACTAAAACCCTATCAAAATCCTATTAAAATCTCACTAAAATCCCATTAAAATCTCACTGAAATCTTACTAAAACCCTTAAAATCCCATTAAGATCCACTAAAATCTCATTAAGATCTCTCTAAAATCCCATTAAAGCCTCACTGAAATCTCATTAAAATCCCATTAAAATTTCACTAAAATCTGTCTTAACATCCTATTAAAACCCCACTAAAATTTCCTTAAAATTTTCTTAAAATCCTATTAGAATCCCATTAAAACCCCATTGAAATTCCAGTAAAACCCCACTAAAATCCTACTAAAACGCCTCTAAAATTCCCTTAAAATCCCATTAAAATCTCATTAAAATTCTGTTAGATCTCATTAAAATCTCTCTAAAATCTTCCCAAATCCCCCTAAAATTCCCCAAAATCCCCCTAAAACTCCCAGAACCCCCCAAAATTCCCGGATTTTTCCGTCTCCCGTGACCTTCCTGCCTGGCTTTATTTTTTTCCCATTTTTCTCACTTTTTCCCACTTTTTTTCCCTTTGTTTTCCCACTTTTCCCCAGGAATTCGGGGGCGGATCCGCTCCCAGCCGGGGATCCCTGAGCCCAGCAGATGGAGCTGAATTCCCGCGGCTTTGGGCACAATTCCCGGGATTTTGGGCACAATTCCCGGGATTTTGGGCAAAATTCCCAGTTTTGGAGCACAATTCCTGTGGGTTTTGGGCAGAATTCCCAAAGTTTTGAGCACAATTCCTGTGTTTTTTGGGCAGAATTCCCAGGATTTTGGGCAGAATTCCCAAAGTTCTGAGCTCAATTCCTGCATTTTTTGGGCAGAATTCCCAAAGTTTTGGGCAGAATTCCTGCATTTTATGAGAAGGATTCCCAGTTTTTTGGGGTCAGATCCTGAGGATTTTGGGGTTGTCCAATCCTGAATTTTTAGGTTTTAATCCTGGCAATTTTGGGGTCAGATCCTTAAATTTGAGGCTCTGATCCCAAAGTTTTTGGGGTCTGATCCCAAGGATTCTCGGGATGTCCAATCCTGAGGTTTTGGGGTTCTAATCCTGAATTTTTTAGATTTTAATTCGGGGAATTTTGGGGTTCTGATCCTGAAGATTTTGGGGTTTGATCCTGAAGATTTTGGGCTTTGTCCCAAAGATTTTCAGGTCCCATCCTGGAAATTTTCAGGCTCTGATCCCAAAGATTTTGTGGTTCAATCACGAGGATTTGGGGCCCCATTTCCATTTTTCCCCCTTTTTTTCCCCAATTTTCCCCAATTTTTCCCATTTTTCCCATTTTCCCAGAGGCTGTCACGTGCCTGCTCCGCGCCATCGAGATCTACACGGACATGTGAGACCCCCCTGGAATTCCCAAAATTCCCCCCTGGAACCCCCAAAATTCCCCCATGGAATTCCCAAAATTCCCCCCTGGAACCCCCAAAATTCCCCCCTGGAATCCCCAAAATTCCCCCCTGGAACCCCCAAAATTCCCCCCTGGAACCCCCAAAATTCCCCCCTGGAAATTCCCAAAATTCCCCCCTGGAATCCCCAAAATTCCCCCCTGGAATTTGGGATCTGGGGCTTTCTCTTCCCCCTCCCACACCCCAGCCCAGGGCCCTCCTGTTTTCCTGGGAAATTCCCATTTTTCCATGGATTATTCCCATTTTCCCCTGTTTTTCCCCAGTTTTCTCCCATTTCCCTCTGGAATATTCCCATTTTTCCCTGTTTTCCCCCCCAGTTTTTCCCATTTTCCCCAGTTTTTCCCATTTTCCCCAGTTTTCTCCCCTTTCCCCCTGGAATATTCCCATTTCCCCCTGGTTTTTTCCCCATTTTTCCCCATTTTCCCCCTGTTTTTTTCCCATTTCCCCCTGGAATATTCCCATTTTTTCCCAATTTTCCCCCATTTTTTCCCCATTTCCCCCCATTTTTCCCCATTTCCCCCCATTTTCCCCCATTTTTCCCTATTTTCCCCCTTTTTTTCCCCCTTTTTTCCCATTTTTCCCCATTTCCCCCCATTTTTTCCCCATTTTCCCTCATTTTCCCCCATTTCCCCCCATTTTTTCCCCATTTTTTCCCCATTTTTTCCCCATTTTTCCCCATTTCCCCCTGGTTTTTTTCCCATTTTTTTCCCCTTTTCCCCTGTTTTTCCCCATTTTCCCCATTCCCCCCCATTTTTTCCCCAGTTTTTCCCCATTTTTCCCCATTTTTTCCCCATTTTCCCCCATTTTCCCCATTTTTTCCCCATTTTTCCCCATTTTTTCCCCATTTTCCCCATTTTCCCCCATTTTCCCCATTTTTCCCCATTTTTCCCCATTTTTTCCCCATTTTCCCCCATTTTCCCCATTTTTCCCCATTTTTCCCCATTTTTTTCCCCATTTTCCCCCCATTTTCCCCCATTTTTTCCCCATTTCCCCCCATTTTTCCCCATTTTCCCCCCAGGGCCGTTTCACCATCGCTGCCAAGCACCACATCTCCATTGCTGAGATCTACGAGAGCGACCTGCTGGACATTGAGAAGGTGAAAACCCCAAACAAATCCCAAAAAATCCCAAAAAATCCCAAAAATTCCCATGAAAATCCCTGCAGAAAAACCCCGCCGAAAAATAATGGAAAAATCCCAGAAAAATCCCCCAAAAATCTGCAAAAAAACAGCACAAAATCCCAGGGAAATCCCAAAAAAACCTGGGAAAATCCTAAAAAAATAATTCCGTGATAATATCAAAAAATCCTGGAAATATTCTCAGAAAAATCCCAGAAAATCCTGGAAAAATCCCTGGATCTCTCTTTTCCTCCTCCTCCGTTGTTGTTGTTGAGAGAGATATCTCTCTCTTTTCCTCCTCCTCCGTTGTTGTTGTTGAGAGAGATCCCCAAAATTCTGGGAAAAATCCCAAAAAAATCCTAAAAATTCTGGGGAAAAATCCCAGAAAATCCTGGAAAAATCCCCCCCCAAAAAAATCCCAGAAAATCCTAAAAATTCGGGGAAAAATCCTGGAGAAAAATCCCTGAAAATCCTGGGAAATTTCTGGAAATTTGGGGGATTTTTCTGGGATTTTTTGGGGGACTTTTGGGGAATTTTTGGGGGATTTTTTAAAATGTTTTTTCAGGGATTTTTCTGGATTTTCTGGGATTTTTCTGTGATTTTCTGGGATTTTTCCAGGATTTTCTGGGATTTTTCTGGAAGTTTTCTGGGATTTTTCCAGGATTTTTCCGGGATTTTTTCCGGGATTTTTTTGGGATTTTCTGGGATTTTTGGAGATTTTGGGGGGGATTTTTTTTTTGGATTTTTTAAAATTATTTTCCTGGGATTTTTCTGGGATTTTCCTGGGATTTTTCTGTGATTTTTGGGGGATTTTTCTGGATTTTTTTCCTATTTTTCCTGGGAATTCAGGGCTTTTGTGGCCTTTCCAGTCTTTTCCTGGGCTTTTTCAGACCTTTCTGGGCTTTTTCCAGCCTTGCCTGGGCCCAGCAGGAGCAGCTGGGGCGGGGGCGGCCCCGGAGCCGCCGGAATTCCAGAATTTTCCGGAATTTTCCGGAATTTTCCGCAGTGCTGGGGAGGGGGAGGGGCGGGGATGGACAATTCCAGGCTCCCAGGAGCTTTTCCCTCCCTGCTGGGATCCACCTGAAATTCTGCGACCTTCAGCCCAGCTTTAGCCCATTTGGAGCCCATTTTAATCCCATTTTAATCCCTTTTTTACCCCATTTTAATCCCTTTTTTAGCCCATTTTTATCCCATTATAATCCCTTTTTTATCTCATTTTAATCTCTTTTTTTACCCAATTTTAATCCCTTTTTTATCTCATTTTTACCCCATTTTGATCCTGTTCTAATCCAAGTTTTACCCCATTTTAATCCCTTTTTTTACCCTATTTTAGTCCCTTTTTTACCCCATTTTAATCCCTTTTTTTAGCCATTTAATCCCTTTTTTATCTCATTTTTACCCCATTTTGATCCTGTTCTAATCCAAGTTTTACCCCATTTTAATCCCTTTTTTTTACCCTATTTTAGTCCCTTTTTTATCCCTTTTTTATCTTTTTTTTATCCCATTTTAATCCCATTTTTATCCTAATTTTACTCCATTTTAATCTCATTTTTTCCTGGATTTTTCTGGGATTTTTCCAGGTTTGGTTTTTTTTTTTTTTTTTTTCCCAGGACTTTTCCAGGCTTTTTCTGGGAATTTTTTCAGGATTTTTCTGTGACATTTTCCTGGGATTTTTTTTCCTGTATTTTTCCAGATTTTTCCCCCATGATTTTCCTGGGATTTTTTTCTGGAGTTTTTCCAGATTTTTCCAGGATCTTTTTGGGTTTCTCCAGGGTTTTTTCCTGGAATTTTTTGGGGATTTTTCCAGGTGTTTTTTCCCAGGATTTTTGGGGATTTTTCCTCAGTTTTTTCCCAAGATTTCCCTGGGATCTTTTCCGAGGTTTCTCTGGGATTTTCACTGGGGTTTGCAGGTTTTTTCCCAGGATTTTTTCAAATTTTTCCAGGATTTCCCTGGGATTTTTTCCAGGAATTTTTCCCATGATTTTGCTGGGATCTTTCCCAGGATTTCCCGTGATCTCTTTGGGTTTCCCCGAGGTTTTTCCCTGATTTTTGGGTGATTTCTCTGGAATTTTCCGTGTTTTTCCTGCTGGATCCCGTTTGTCCCGGGTGATTCTGTTGGGATTTTTGGGATCTGCTCCCAAATTCCCCCGGTTTTCCCAATTTCTCCGTTTTTGCCCCCAGGCCGTGGCGCACTACGAGCAGGCGGCCGATTACTACAGAGGGGAGGAATCCACCAGGTACCGGGGATCCCAACGGATCCAAACGGATCCCAACGGATCCAAACTGATCCAAACTGATCCCAACGGATCCCAACTGATCCCAATGATCCTGGGCCAAATCCTGAGGGGTTCCAATGGATCCCAAAGGATCCCGGTGATCCTGGGTCAAATCCCGAGGGGTTCTGAGGGTTTCCAATGGATCCCAACGGATCCCAACGGATCCTGGGTCAAATCCTGAGGGATCCTGAGGGTTCCCAATGGATCCCAACCATCCTGAGCCCAATCCTGAGGGGTTCTGAGGGTTCCCAATGGATCCCAACCATCCTGAGCCCAATCCTGAGGGGTTCTGAGGGTTCCCAATGGATCCCAACCATCCTGAGCCCAATCCTGAGGGGTTCTGAGGGTTCCCAATGGATCCCAACTGATCCTGGGCCAAATCCTGAGGGGTCCCAAGGGGTCCCAATGGATCCCAACTGATCCCAATGATCCTGGGCCGAATCCTGAGGGGTCCCGAGGGTTCCAATGGATCCTGAGGGATCCCAATGATCCTGGGTCAAATCCTGAGGGGTCCCAATGGATCCAACTCATCCCAATGGATCCTGAGGGATTCCAACAACTCTGGGCCAAATCCCGAGGGGTTCCAATAGATCCCAATGGGTCCCAATGGGTCCAAACAGATCCCAATGATCCTGAGCCAAATCCTGAGGGGTCCCAATGGATCCCAATGGATCCCAATGACCCTGGGTCAGATCCTGAGGGGTTCTGAGTGTTCCAAATGGATCCCAACCGATCCCAGCTCCAAATCCCAACAGATCCTGGGGATCCCAGTGGATCCCAAGGGATCCCGGCCTGAATCCGCCCTGCTCCCAATGGACCCCAAATCCCAATTCCAAGGGATCCAATGGTTTGGGTGCACTTTGGGGGGTTTGGTGCAGTTTTGGGGGTTGGGTGCAGTTTGGGTGCACTTTGGGGGTTTGGGTGCACTTTGGGGGGTTTGGGTGCATTTGTTGGGATTTTGGCCGGGATTTGCCATTTGCAGTTGGGATTTTTGGGCTTTGGGCGGGGATTTTGGGGTTTTTTGGGTGGGGTTTTTTGGGTGGGGTTTCCGGGATTTTGGGGTTTTGGGGATTTTGGGTTTTTTGGGTGGGTTTCCCGGGATTTGGGGCTTTCCAGGCAATCCTGCCCCTTTCCCATCCCCAGCTCAGCCAACAAGTGCCTGCTGAAGGTGGCTGCGTACGCGGCCCAGCTCGAGCAGTTCCCGCGCGCCATCGACATCTACGAGCAGGTGGGGCCTTCCTCTCCTCCTCCTCCTCCTCTTCCTCTTTTCCTGCTTTTTTTTTGCTCATTTTTCTGCTTTTCTCCCTGATTTTCCCGCTTTTTTCCTCATTTTCTTGCCTTTTTTTGCTCATTTTTCTGTTTTTCCCCTCATTTTCCCGGGTTTTTTTCCGGATTTTCCCGGATTTCCCGGATTTTTCCGGATCATTCCAGGTGGGCTCGGTGGCCATGGACAGCCCCCTGCTCAAGTACAGCGCCAAGGAGCATTTCTTCAGGGCTGCCCTGTGCCACTTCTGCATCGACATGCTCAATGCCAAGGTAATTGATTAATTAGTGTTAATTAGCGTTAATTAGGGGGTAATTAGGGTTAAATTTGAGGTATTTGGGATTTTGGGGCAATGGGAATGGAGCATTTCTTCAGGGCTGCCCTGTGCCACTTCTGCATCGACATGCTCAACGCCAAGGTGATTAACTGATTAATTAGCGTTAATTAGGGGTTAATTGGAGGTTAAATTTGAGATATTTGGGATTTTGGGGCAATGGGAATGGAGCATTTCTTCAGGGCTGCCCTGTGCCACTTCTGCATCGACATGCTCAACGCCAAGGTGATTCACTAATTAGTGTTAATTAGCGTTAATTAGGGGTTACATTTGGGGTATTTGGGGTTAATTTGGGGTTAATTTGGGATTGGGACTGGAGCATTTCTTCAGGGCTGCCCTGTGCCACTTCTGCATCGACATGCTCAACGCCAAGGTGATTAACTGATTACTGTTAATTAGGGGTTAATTAGAGGTTAAATTTGGGGTATTTGGGGTTAAATTTGGATTTTGGGGCAATGGGAATGGAGCATTTCTTCAGGGCTGCCCTGAGCCACTTCTCCGTGGACATGCTCAACGCCCAGGTGATTAATTCATTAGTGTTAATTAGGGGTTAATTAGCATTAATTAGAGGTTAATTAGGGTTAATTTGAGGTTAAAGTTGGATTTCGGGGCAATGGGAATGGAGCATTTCCTCAGGGCTGCCCTGAGCCACCTCTGTGTGCTGGATGCCAAGGCGATCATTAGCGTTAATTAGCATTAATTAGGGGTTCATTAGGGGTTAATTAGCGTTAATGAGGGGTTAACGAGCGTTAATTGCCCGCAGCTGGCGGTGCAGCGCTATGAGGAGATGTTCCCGGCCTTCTCCGACTGCCGCGAGTGCAAACTCCTCAAGGTCAGCCTTCCTCCCCTCCCTCCTCATCCTCATCATCCTCATCACCTTCATCTTCATCATCTTCAACCTGATCCTCATCTCCATCAGCCTTCCTCCCCTCCCTCATCATCCTCATCATCCTCATCATCATCCTCATCTCCATCTCCATCAGCCTTCCTCCCCTCCCTCATCATCCTCATCTCCATCAGCCTTCCTCCCCTCCATCATCCTCATCATCACCTTCATCACCTTCACCATCTTCATCTTCATCACCTCCATCATCTTCATCACCTTCATCCTGATCCTCCCCTCCCTCATCATCCTCATCATCATCACCTTCATCACCTTCATCACCTTCATCTTCATCACCTTCATCCTGATCCTCATCTTCATCAGCCTTCCTCCCCTCCCTCATCACCCTCAGTATCCTCCTCATCTTCATCCTCATCCTCCTCCTCCTCCTCGTCCCACCATCATCCCATCCTGCTCCTCATCCTCCTCATCATCTTCATCCTTGTCCCTCCTCCTCCTCATCCTCATCCCATTTCTTCATCCTGCTCCTCCTCATCCTCACCTTCCTCCTCCTCCTCCTCCTCCTCCCCAGAAGCTGCTGGAGGCTCACGAGGAGCAGAACGTGGACGCCTTCACCGACGCCGTACGTGGCAAAAACCCCCCCAAAATCACCCCTAAATTACCCCAAAATCACCCCAAAATCACCTCAAAACCCCCAAAATCCCCCCAAAACCCCCAAAATTACCCCAAAAATCCCCCCCAAAACCCCAAAACCCCCCAAAATCACCCCAAAATCCCCAATTTACCCTAAATTCACCCCCAGTCACCAACACCGTTTGTGGGGAACCCCAAATCCCCCAAATTTACCCCAAAATTCAGCCCAAATCCCCCAATTTACTCTAAATCCCACAAATCCGCCCCAAATTGCACAAATTCACCCCAAATCCACCCTGAATTCAATCCAAATCCTCCAAAATTTCCCAAATTTCACCTAAATTCCCCCTATTTTCCCCCCAAATCCCCCTGCAAAGCCCCAAATCCCCCCAATTTCACTCCAAAAGCTCCCAACTTCCCCCAGTTTCACCCCAAATCCCCCTGAAAAGCCCCAAATTCCCCCCAAATCCCCCTGATTTCACCCCAAATTCCTCCCAACCCCCCTGAAAAGCCCAAATTCCCCCCAATCCCCCTGATTTCACCCCAAATTCCCCCCAATCCCCCTGATTTCACCCCAAATTCCACCCAACTCCCCAGATTTCCCCCCCAAATTCCCCCAAACCCCCTCAAATCCCCCTCAAATCCCCCCAAATGTGCCCCAGTCCCCCCCAGAAGCCCCAAATTTCCCCGTTTTGCCCCCAAATCCCCGCAGGTGAAGGAGTTTGACTCCATCTCCCGCCTGGACCAGTGGCTGACGTCGCTGCTGCTGCGCATCAAGAGGAGCATCCAGGGAGAGGAGCAGGACCTGCGCTGAGAGCGCCCCAAAACGCCCCAAAACAGCCCCAAAACACCCCAAAAATAGGGTGAAAATATACTAAAAACAGCCCCCAAAATAGGGTAAAAATGTGCTTAAAATGCCCCCAAAAATATGGTAAAAATGTGCTTAAAATACCCCCAAAAATATGGTAAAAATGTGTTCAAAATACCCCCAAAAATACTCCCAAAGCCCTCCTAAAATATGCTAAAAATACCCTCAAAAATATGGTAAAAATGTTCTTAAAATACCCCCCAAAATATGGTAAAAATGTGCTTAAAATACCCCCAAAACCCTCCTAAAATACGCTAAAAATACCCCCAAAAATACCCAATCCTCCGCTGCAGAAAATGTGTTAAAAATACCCCAAAAATATCTTAAAAATACAAAAAAAAATGATAAAAATACCCCCGAAAACCCCCTCAGAAAATGCTAAAAATACCCCCCAAATACCCCAAAAATATCTTGAAAATACCAAAAAAAAAAGATAAAAATACCCCCAAAAATACCGCAAAACACCCACAAAAATAGGCTAAAAATACCTTAAAAAAGACTCGAAAAACACCCCCAAAAAAACCCCAAAAAATTGACTTAAAAATACCCCAAAATTCCAAAAATCCCCCAAAAAATTCCCCCAAAAATCCACAAAAAAAACCCCCAAAAATCCACAAAAACCCCACCAAAACCCCCCCCAAAAATTAGCCTAAAAACGTAAAAAATCCCCCCAAAAATCCCTCAAAAAACCCCCCAAAAAAACCCCCAAAATACTACAAAAAATCCCCCAAAATCCCACAAAAATACCGCAAAAAAACCTCAAAAAAACCCCCAAAACAGCACCAAAAAAAACAGCAATAAACCCCTCAAGATCACCCCAAAAATGCTGCAAAAATTCCCCAAAAAAATTCCCCCAGAATTCCCCTCTTCCCCCTGGTGCCTTCCAGAACATTCCTGGCCCCGCCCCTGCCCCCCGCGGGCCCTCATTAAATATTCATGGACTTGGCTTTGGGGGCGTGGCCTCATTTTAGGGGTGTGCCTTTCATCATTACGGGGTGTGACCTCACATTTGGGGGTGTGGCCTGTGGGTTTTATCTGCATATCCCAAATTTGGGGGCGTGGCCTGGATTTTTGGGGGTGGTGCTACATTTTGAGGGTGGGGCTTCATTTTGGGGGTGTGGCCTCAGGTTTTTATGAACATTCCCTGGATTTTAGGGAACAGTCTCTGTCTGTGAGGGGCGTGGCCTCTTCTGGGGGGCGTTCCCTCTTTTTGGAGGTGTGGCTTCATTTTGGGGGCGTGACCTTTTTGAGGCATGGCCTCTATTCGGGGGCGTGACCTGTTTTTAAGGGGCGTGGCCTCATTTTTTTACCCTTCACTAATTATGGGGGTGTGGCCTGGTTATGGGGGGGCGTTCCCTGATTTGGGGGGGCGTGGCCTCATTTTGGGCGGGTCTTTTTTAATTGGGGACAAGCGGGGAGGGGCTGCTTCATTTCCCCCGGAATTCCCCAAAATTTCCCCCTTGACCTCAAAATTCCATTTCTGACCCCAAATTCCCTTCCCCCCCATTTAAGCCACGCCCCCGCACAAACCGCGCCCTCTAAGCGCTCCATTACCTTTTATGGCGCTTTGACCACGCCCACAAGAGGCGGAGCTTTCACTCAACCCCCGCCCGCGCCGCCAAACCCCTCCCGTCGCCGCTTGTTGACGTCATCGCCGCGCGCCCGCGCTCCCCGCAAGGCCCCGGCGCGGCTCTGCCGGTGGGGCTGCCCCCGGCGCTGCCCGGCCCGGTTCGCTCTCGGTTCCTCTCGCTCTGCCTCGGTTCGTTCCCGTTTCTGCTCCGGTTCGTTCCCGTTTCTGCTCCGGTTCGTTTCCCGTTTCTGCTCCGGTTCCTCCCGGTTCGCTCCCGCTCCGTTCCCGGCTCTGGCTCGGTTCGCTCACGCTGGAGTTGCCCGCGGCGTTGCCTGGCCCGATTCGCTCCCGGTCTTGGTTCGGTCCCGGTTCTCTCCCAGTCCCAGCGGTCCCGGTTCGGTCCTGGTTCTGTCCCGGTTCCGTCTCTGTCCCGGTTTTCGCCAGGGTCCCGGTTCTGTTCCGGTTCTCTCCTGGTTCCCTCCCAGTCCCGTTTCTCTCCCGGTTCAGTCCTGGTCTCGGTTCGGTCCCGTTCCTGTCTCGGTTCCGTTCTGGTCCCGGTTCTCTCCCGGTCTGGTCCTGCTTCAACCCCAGTTCTCTCCCGGTTCTCTCCCGTTATTTCAATCCCTTTTCTCTCCTGTTTCTCTGCAGGTCCCGGTCCCGGTTCTGTCCCGGTTCCGTGATGTCTCTCTGGTCCCGGTGCCCGTTGGTCGAGGACAGTTTCAGCCGCCTCGGCTCCCAGAGCAACGTCTACGGCCTGGCCGCGCTGCCCGGGGCCGTTCCCCCGCCCGGGCCTGGCCTGGTCCCGGTACCGGCACCGCTCCTGACCCGGGCCGGGGGCCCGGGCTGCTTTTGGTGCCGGTTCTGGTCCCGGTTCCAGTTCAGATCCTGCCCCAGTTCCATGTCCCCGGTTCCTGTCCCAGTTCCTGTCCTGGTTCTGGCCCCAGTTCTGCTCCTGGTCCCGGTTCTGTTCCCAGTCCTGGTTCCTGTCCTGGGTCTGTTCCCATTCCCGGTTCTGGTCCCGGTTCTGATCCTCACCCAGTTCCTGGTCCCGGTTCCTGTCCCAGTTCTGTTCCCGGTTCCATTCCTGGTCCCGGTTCTGATCCTCACCCAGTTCAATGCCCTGGTTCTGGTTCTGTTTCCATTCCCGGTTCCATTCCCGGTTCCATTCCCGGTTCCAATCCCGTTTTGGGCCGTGGTTCTGGTTCTGATCCTGACCCAGTTCCCGTTCCCACTTCTGTTCCCGTTCCCAGTCCCATTCCTGGCTCTGTTCCCGGTTCCTGTCCCAGTTCTGTTCCTGTTCCCGGTTCATGTCCCGGTTCTGTTCCCATTCCTGGTTCCGTTCCTGGTCCCGTTCCCAGTTCCATTCCTGGTTCCTGTCCCAGTTCCTGTCCCAGTCCCTGTCCTGGTCCTGTTCCTGGTCCCTGTCCCAGTTCGTGTCCCAGTTCCTGTCCCGGTTCTGTTCCTGGTTCTGTCCCGGGTCCGGTGCCATTCCCGGTTCCTGTCCCAGTTCCTGTCCTGGTTCCTGTCCCGGTCCCAGTCCCGTTCCTGGTCCCGTTCCCGTTGCTGTCCCGGGTCCCGGTCCCTGTCCCGTTCCCGGTCCCGTTGCCGTCCCGGGTCCCGGTGCCATTCCCGGTGCCATTCCCGGTTCCTGTCCCGGTCCTGTTCCCGTTGCTGTCCCGGGTCCCGGTGCCATTCCCGGTTCCTGTCCCAGTTCCTGTCCCGGTTCCTGTCCCGTTCCCGGTCCCGTTCCCCGTTGCCGTCCCGGGTCCCGGTGCCATTCCCGGTTCCTGTCCCGGTTCCTGTCCCGGTTCGTGTCCCGTTCCCAGTCCCGTTCCCGTTGCTGTCCCGGGTCCCGGTGCCATTCCCGGTTCCTGTCCCGGTTCCTGTCCCGTTCCCGGTCCCGTTCCCGTTGCCGTCCCGGGTCCCGGTGCGCTGTTGGCAGCGGCTCTCAAGGGAAAGGTTTTGCTGTTCCGGTACCGGCAGCTGCGGCCGCGCCTGCGGCCCCTGGCCCGGGAGCTGCAGTTCACCTACATACCCAGTATGGGATAACGGGGATAAACAACGGGAATAACGGGAATAACGGGAATAACAACAATGGGAATAACAACAATGGGATAACAGGAACAGCTGCAGTTCACCTGCATACCCGGTATGGGATAACGGGAATAACAACAATGGGAATAACGGGAATAACGGGAATAACGGGAATAACAACAATGGGGTAACGGGAACAACGGGGATAACGGGAACAGCTGCAGTTCACCTACATACCCGGTATGGGATAACGGGGATAAACAACGGGAATAATGGGAACAACGGGAATAACAACAATGGGAATAACAACAATGGGATAACAGGAACAGCTGCAGTTCACCTGCATACCCGGTATGGGATAACGGGAATAACAACAATGGGAATAACGGGAATAACGGGAATAACGGGAATAACAACAATGGGAATAACAACAATGGGATAACAGGAACAGCTGCAGTTCACCTACATACCCGGTATGGGATAACGGGGATAAACAACAATGGGAATAACAACAATGGGAATAACAGGGATAACAACAATGGGACAACGGGAATAGCTGCAGTTCACCTACATACCCGGTATGGGATAACGGGAATAACAACGGGGATAACAACAATGGGATAACGGGAACAACGGGGATAACAACAATGGGATAATGGGAACAGCTGCAGTTCACCTGCATACCCGGTATGGGATAACGGGAATAACAACAATGGGAATAACAATGGGAATAACAACAATGGGATAACAACAATGGGATAACGGGAACAGCTGCAGTTCACCTACATACCCGGTATGGGATAACGGGAATAAACAACAATGGGATAACAATGGGAATAACAATGGGATAATGGGAACAGCTGCAGTTCACCTACATACCCGGTATGGGGGGATAACAATGGGAATAACAACGGGGATAACAATGGGAATAACAACAATGGGATAACAACAATGGGAATAACAACAATGGGATAACGGGGACAACGGGGATAACAACAATGGGATAACGGGAACAGCTGCAGTTCACCTGCATACCCGGTATGGGGGGATAACAATGGGGATAACAACAATGGGATAACAACAATGGGATAACAACAGGGGTAACAACAACGGGATAACGGGAATAACAACGGGAATAACAGGAATATCAGCAGGGATAACAACAGGATAATGGTGGAAAAACAATGGGAATAACGGGAATAGCAACAGGAATAACGGCAGGGATAACAACAGGGATAATGGGAATAACAACAGGAATAACAAGGGGATAACAGCGGGAATAACGGGATAACAACGGGAATAACAACGGGATAACAGCTGGAATAATGGGGATAATGGAGGGAATAATGGCGGGGCTAATGGGGGTAAAAATGGGATAATAACGAGAATAACAACGGGAATAACAATGAGAATGATGGGAATAACAATAGGAATAATGGGGGATAACAACAGGAATGATGGGGATAACAACAGGAATGATGATGGGGCTAACAGGACACAGGAAATGGGGAAATTGTTGGGAATTTTTGGGGATTTTTTAGGTTTTTTTTTTTCTTTTTAGGGGATTTTTCTTGGGGAGTTTTTTTGGGAGGGTTTTTGGATTTTTTTTTTTAGGATTTTTTAGGGATTTTTTGGGGGGGTTTTTAGAGGAATTTTTAGGATTCTTTTGGGGATTTTTGGGGGCATTTTAAAAATTATTTCTTAGGATTTTTGAGGAACTTTTTGGGATTTTTTTGGGGGAATTTTTTTGGGGGGATTTTGGGGAATATTTTGGGAAATTTTTGAGGATTTTTAGGAGTTTTTTAGGGGGATATTTTGGGGGAGTTTTTGGTGGGTGTTTGAGCAGTTTTGGGGGCATTTTTGGGGGATTTTTTTGGGGATGTTTTTGATTTTTTGGGGGGGATTTTTTTGGGATTCTTTTTTATTTTTGGGGATTTTTTTTTATTTTTGGGGGGGATTTTTTGGGGATATTTTTGGGGTCCCCAGTGGATTTTTCTGCCCTTGCAGTGGATGCTGAGATCGTTTCCATCGATTCCTTCCCCAAATCCCCGCCCCAGCGCGGCCTCGTGGTGGGGATCACCTTCATCAAGGTGGGGAGGGCACCGGGGGTCCTGGGGGGGGATTTTGGGGGGGATTTGGGGGGTCCCAGATGGGATTTGGGGGGTCCTGGAGTGGCTCTGAGGGGATTTGGGGGGGATTTGGGGGGGTCTGGGGGATCCCCGATGGGATTTGGGGGGGCTCTGAGGGGATTTGAGGGGTCTGAGAGGGCATCTGGGGGTCTCAGATGGGATTTTGGGGGGGTTTGAGGAGTCCTGGGGGCTCCCAGATGGGATTTGGGGGGTCCTGGAGGGGCTCTGAGGGGATTTGGGGGGGTCTGGGGGATCCCAGTGGGGTTTGGGGGGATCTGGGGGGGCTCTGAGGGGATTTGGGGGTGTCTGGGGGGGATTTGGGGGGTCCCTGGGGGATCCCAGTGGGGTCTGGGGGGTCCTGGAGTGGCTCTGAGGGGATTTGGGGGGGATTTGGGGGGGTCCTGGGGGATCCCAGATGGGATTTGGGGGGAATTTGAGGGGTCTGAGAGGGCATTTGGGGGTCTCAGATGGGATTTCGGGGGGTCCGAGAGGTTTTTGGGGGGTCTCAGGTGTTTTTTGGGCATTCTGGGCTTGTTCTGGGGTTCCCAGGTCATTTCTGGGGGGGTCTTGGGTCATTTCTGGGGGGTTCTGGGGTTGTTTTTTTGGGGGTTCTGGGGTTGTTTTTGGGGGGTTCTGGGGTTGTTTTTTGGGGTTCTGGGGTTGTTTTTTGGGGGGTTCTGGGGTTGTTTTTTGGGGGGTTCTGGGGTTGTTTTTTGGGGGTTCTCAGGCCGTTTTTGGGGGTTCTGGGGTTGTTTTTTGGGGGGTTCTGGGGTTGCTTTTTGGGGGGTTCTGAGGTTGTTTTTTTGGGGGGTTCTGGGGTTGTTTTTGGGGGTTCTGGGGTTGTTTTTTGGGGTTCTCAGGCCATTTTTTGGGGTCTCAGGTGATTTCTGAGGGGTCCGGGGGTTTTTGGGGGGGTCTCAGGCGATTTTGGGGGGTCTGAGGTGATTTTTGGGGTCCCCCAGGACTCGGGGGACAAACCCCAGCCCCTTCCTCAACATTTACTGCGACTACGAGCCCGGCTGCGAGTTCGACCTGGACTCGGTGGCCCGTGAGAGACCCCGGAAATGGGGATGGGAACCCCGAAAATGGGGATGGGAACCCAAAAAATGGGGATGGGAACCCAAAATGGGGATGGAAACCCCAAAAATGGGATTTGGGAGCTTAAAAATGGGAATGGGACCCCCGAAAATGGAATTGGGAACCCAAAATGGGGATGAGAACCCAAGAAAGGGACTGGGGAGCCAAAACTGGGGATGGGACTCCCCAAAAGGGGTTTGGGATCCCCCAAATTGGGACTGGGATCCCCAAATGGGATCAGGGACCCCAGAAATGGATTTGGGACCCCAGAAAGGGATTTGGGACCCCAGAAATGGGTTTGGGACCCCCCCAAAATGTCCCTGCCCCTCCCCAGAGAGTTGCCTGAACCTGGAGCTTCGCTTCACCCCCTTCCAGCTGTGCCACGCCCAGTGAGTGCCAAAAACCCCCCCAAAAAAACCCCAAAAAATCCTAAAATTCAAAAAAAAAAAAATCCTAAAAAATGCTGGAATTGCCTGAAAGGGCCCCAAACCTGCAGGGTCAGGGTGGGGGAGCACCTGGAGACCGTGTTCCTGCTCAGTGGAATGACCCTGCAATCCACATGTACCGAGAGGTGAGGAGCCCCAAAAATGGCCCAAAATACACCCCAAAAATAGCCCCAAAATAGCCCAAAACCACCCTGAAAATATCCCCAAAATACTCTGAAATATCCCCAAAAATTACCCAAAATATCCCATAAAAACAACCTGTACAGAGAGGTGAGGCACCCCAAAATGGCCCCAATACACCCCAAAATATCCTGAAAATAGCCCCAAAACCACCCTGAAAATATCCCCAAAATACCCTGAAATCATCCCCAAAATACACCCCAAAAATACCCTGGAAATATACCCAAAAACTGCCCAAAATATCTCATAGAAACTCCCTGTACAGAGAGGTGAGGCACCCCAAAAATGGCCCCAAAATACCCCCCAAAACAGCCCCAAAAATAGCCCCAAACCACCCTGAAAATATCCCCAAAATATACCCCAAAAATACCCCGGAATATACCCAAAAATTACCCAAAATTACTCCATAGCACTCCCCAAAAATACCCTGAAATACGTCCCAAAATATTCCCAAAATCCCCCAAAATCCACGCAGCCATCCACCTGCACAGAGAGGTGAGACACCCCAAAAATGGCCCCAAAATACCCCCAAAAATATCCCCAAAACACCTTAAAAATAGCCCAAAATGTACCCCAAAAATACCCCAAAATACAACAAAAAAAAAGCTAAAAACACCCCAAAAATGCCCCAAAACATACCCGAAAATATGCCCCAAAACCACCTTAAAATACACCAAAAATACCCTAAAAATTCCCCCAAATTCCCCCCTAAAATGCCCATCAAAATCCCCATCAAAATCCCTCAAAATCCCCCCCCCCAAAATCCACCAAAATGCCAAAAAATCCCCAAAATTCCCCCAAATTTCCCCCCAAAATCCCCATTTAAATCCCCCAAAATCCCCATCAAAATCCCTCAAAATCCCCAAAAAAATCTCCATAAAAATCGCCCAAAAATCCCCCAAAATCCCCATAAAAATCCCCAAAAATCTCCCCAAAAATCCCCATTAAACGTCCCACTAAAATGCCCCAAAAATCCCCCAAATTCCCCCCGAAAAATCCCCTAAAATCCCTCAAAAATGGCCCAAAATCCCCCAAAAATTCCCCCTTTTTTCCCCTTTTTTTCCCATTTTCCCCCTTTTCCCCCATTTTTCCCCATTTTTTCCCATTTTTCCCCATTTTTCCCCCATTTCAGAACCCCGGCTCTCACCAGTTTGAGGAGCAGCCGATCCAGCTGCTCTTCCCCGAGCTCCAGGACCTGCCCAGCACGTGAGCCTCCAATTTTTTACTCTTTTTCCTCAATTTTCCCTGAATTTCCTTCATTTCCCCCATTTTTTCCTAAATTTCCTTGGTTTTCCCAATTTTTCCTGATTTTCTGTGTTTTGTCTTAATTTTTTCCTGATTTTTTCCCTAATTTTCCCTGATTTTTCCCCCAGATTTTCCCTGATTTTCTGTATTTTGTCCCCATTTTCCCCCGTTTTTCTCTGATTTTCCCTGAATTTCCCTATTTTCCATTTTTCCCTGATTTTCCCCTAATTTTTCCCTGATATTTCCCAACTTTTCCCATTCCCCCCGGATTTTTCCCTGATTTTCTCTGTCTCATTTTATTTTTTCCTGGTTTTTTTCCCATTGTTTTACCCACTTTCCCCATTATTTTTCCCATTATTTTTCACCTTGTTTCCCCCATTATTTTTCCCATTTTTTCCCCATTTTTCCCATTATTTCCCCCCATCATTTCCCCCCCGTTTTTCTCTGTATTTTTCCCGTTTCTCCCATTTTTCTCCCCGTTTCCAGGGTGCTGTGGTTGGACGTTCGCTCCCTGTTTCCCCATCATTTTTCCCCCATTATTTTCCCCATTATTTCCCCCATTATTTCCCCTTTTTCCCCCATTATTTCCCCTTTTTCCCCCATTATTTCCCCCATCATTTCCCCCCGTTTTCCTCTGTATTTTTCCCGTTTTTTCCCATTTTTCTCCCCGTTTCCAGGGTGCTGTGGTTGGACGTTCGCTCCCTGCCCGGTTCCCGGCCATCGCCTCTCGGCCCTGGGCTGCCAGAGCGGCTTCGTGCGGGCGGCGCGCGTGGACGAGGGGACACGGGTGAGGGATCCCAAATTCCCAAAGATCTGAATTCCCAAATTCCCAAAAATCTGAATTCCCAAATTCCCAAAACCCCGAATTCCTGAATTCCCCAAATCCTGAATTCCCGAAATCGCGTGGACGAGGGACACGGGGTGGGGGATCCCCAAATCCCTGAAATCCCAAATTCCCAAATTCCCAAAAATCTGAATTCCAAATTCCCAAAACCCCCGAATTCCTGAAATCCTGAATTCCCCAAATCCTGAAATTCCTGAAATCCTGAAATTCCCAAAATCGCGTGGACGAGGGGACACGGGGTGGGGGATCCTGAAATCCCTGAAATCCCAAATTCCCAAATTCCCAAAAATCTGAATTCCCAAATTCCCAAAACCCCCGAATTCCCGAAATCCTGAAATTCCCGAATCGCAGTGGACGAGGGGACACGGGGTGGGAGATCCTGAAATCCAAATTCCCAAATTACCAAAATCCCTGAAATCCCAAAAATCTGAATTCCCAAAGTCCAAAACCCCGAATTCCCAAAATCCTGAAATTCCCAAATTCCTGAATTCCCAAAATCGCGTGGACGAGGGGACGCGGGGCTGAGAAATCCCAAATTCACAAAATTCTGCATTCCCAAAATCCCAAAAATTCTGAGTTTCTGAAATCCTCAAAATCCCCAGTTTTCACCCCCCATTTCCCCCCATTTTTTCCCCAATATCCCCATTTTTCACCCCCATTTTTCCCGTGTATCTCCAGCCCCAAAATCCCCATTTTTCACCCCAATTTCCCCCCCCATTTTTTCCCAATATCCCCATTTTTCACCCCATTTTTCCCGTGTATCTCCAGCCCCAAAATCCCCATTTTTCACCCCATTTTCCCCCTATTTTTTCCCCATTTTTCCTGTGTATCTCCAGCCCCAAAATTCCCCTTTTTCACCCCCATTTTCCCCCCCATTTTCCCCCCATTTTTTCCCAAAATCCCCGTTTTTCACCCCATTTTCCCGCAGTTATTTTGCAGACCTGGAGCTCCCAGCAGGACGGGCCCATCTCAGCTGTGCTGCTCTTCCAGCTGCCCCACGGAGGAACACGGTGAGAGGGGAAAGTGGGGAAAAAATGGGGAAAAATGGGAAAAAATGGGAAAAAATGGGGGAAAAAACAGGGGGGGAAATGGGGAAAAATTATGGAAGATGGGGGAAAAATGAGAAAAATGGGGAAAAACAGCAGGGAAATGGGAAAAAATGGGGGGGAAACAAGGAAAAAATTGGAAAAAAAAACCCTCAGGGGAAATGGGGCAAAGAATGGGGTAAAACCAGGGGAAAATGGGTAAAAAAAAAGAGAAAAAAAATCAGGAAAAATGGGCAAAGCTCAAATTCCCCAAATTCCCCCTTTTTCATCCCATTTTCCCAATTTCCTGCAGAGGATCCCGAGGATTCCTGGAGCCTCCTGGTGAGCAGCACCCTGGAGTCGGCTGTGGTTTATAGGTGAGCCCAGGATGCACCAAATTCCCAAAATTCCAACAGAATTCCCAACAAAATCCCCAAAAAATTCCCCAGAAAATCCCCCCAAAAATTCCCATAAAATCGCCCCAAAAAATCCCAAAATTCCCTCGAAAAAATTCCCCAAATCCAAACAAATTCAAAAAATTCCCAAAATTCCCAGTCCAGGATTTTTTTTTCTGAGGATTTGTAGGGAGTTTTGGGAGGGATTTTTGGGAATTTTTTGGGAATTTTTGGGGAGAATTTGGAGGGGTGTCCTGGGAATTTTAGGGAATATTTTGGGGGGGAATATTTGGGAAATTTTGGGGGAATTTTTCGGGATTTTTAAAAAATTTTTGAGGGGAATTTTTTTAATATAATTTGGCAATTTTGGGGTATTTCTTTGGGGAATTTTTGGGGATTTTTTCTTTTTCAAATTTTGGCGAATTTTATGGAATTTTTGCGGGAATTTTTTTCATTTTTGGGGGATTTTTTGGGAATTTTTTGGGGAATATTTAGGAATATTTGGGGCTGTTTTGTCCCCCCCAGGAGGCTCCTGAGCTGCCCGGCAGCCGCGGGGATTTGGGATTTTTTGGGATTTTTTGGTGATTTTTGGGGAGACTTTTTTGGGAATATTTTAGGGGAATTTGGGGTGGATTTTTTGGGGAACTTTTAGGAGAATTTTGTGGAACGTTTTGGGGAATTTTGGGTGAATTTCTTTACGAATTTCTGGCGCACTTTGGGGGCAGAAATTTTGGAACATTTTGGCCACTTCCAGGGACTTTTTGGGGGGGACTTTTGGGGAACCTTTGCCAGAATTTCTGTGGAATTTTTAGGGGCGATTTGTGGATTTTTGGGCTTTTTTTGGTGAATTTCGGGGGGGTTTTTTTGGAGCTTTTTGAGGGCGGCTCTGGGAACCTTTTAGGGAATTTTTGGGGCCCTTTTAGGGAATTTTTGGGACCTTTTTGGGGAATTTTTGGGACCTTTTTGGGGAATTTTTGGGACCTTTTTGGGGAATTTTTGGGGCCCTTTTAGGGAATTTTTGGGACCTTTTTGGGGAATTTTTGGGACCTTTTTGGGGAATTTTTGGGGCCCTTTTAGGGAATTTTTGGGACCTTTTTGGGGAATTTTGGGGCCCTTTTAGGGAATTTTTGGACCTTTTTGGGGAATTTTTGGGGCCCTTTTAGGGAATTTTTGGGGCCCTTTTAGGGAATTTTTGGGACCTTTTTGGGGAATTTTTGGGGCCTTTTTGGGGAATTTTTGGGACTTTTTTGGGGAATTTTTGGGGCCATTTTGGGACCTTTTTGGGGCCGTTTTGGGGAATTTTTGGGACTGTTTTGGGGAATTTTTGGGGTCCTTTTAGGGAATTTTTGGGACCTTTTTGGGGAATTTTTGGGACATTTTTGGGGAATTTTTGGGGCCTTTTTGGGGAATTTTTGGGACTTTTTTGGGGAATTTTTGGGGCCGTTTTGGGACCTTTTTGGGGCCATTTTGGGACCTTTTTGGGGCCGTTTTGGGGACGTTTTGGGGCGGTTCTGTGTCCCCAGGAGGCTCCTGAGGCGGGGCCTGGCCGAGCCCCTGGCGCTGCCCGGCAGCCGCGGCTCCGACGCCCGTCGTTTGTGCCAAAGTCACCGACGTCGACTTCGACGGCGCCGCCGAGGTCCTTGCTGGGCACCTACGGCCAGGTGGACCCCAGGGCCCCCACAGGCCCAACCTTCCCCCTGACTTCCCACCAATTTCCCCAATTTTTCCAGATTTTCCCCCATTTTTCCCAGATTTTCCCTCATTTTTCCCGGATTTCCCCCCATTTTTCTCCCATTTTTCTCCCAATTTTTCCCCAACGTTCCCTCCAGTTTTCCCCCCAAATCTCTCCTGATTTTCCCCCAAGTTTCCCCCCATTTTTTCCAGATTTTCCCCCATTTTTTCCGGATTTTCTCCCATTTTTCCCCTATTTTTTCTCCAATTTTTCCCCTATTTTTTCTCCCATTTTCCCCCATGAATCTCTCCTGATTTTCCCCCATTTTCCCCCGATATTCCCCCATTTTTTCCAGATTTTCCCCCCATTTTTCTCCCATTTTTCTCCCAATTTTTCCCCAACTTTCCCTCCAGTTTTCCCCCCAAATCTCTCCTGATTTTCCCCCAATTTTCCCCCATTTTTTCTCCCATTTTTCCCCCATTTTTTCTCCCATTTTTCCCCCCCAAATCTCTCCTGATTTCCCCAATTTTCCCCCATTTTTTCTCCCATTTTTCCCCCATTTTTTTCTCCCATTTTTCCCCCCTGAATCTCTCCTGATTTTCCCCAATTTTCCCCCATTTTCTCCCATTTTTCTCCCATTTTTTCTCCCATTTTCCCCCCTGAATCTCTCATGATTTTTTCCCCGATTTTCCCCATTTTTTCCGGATTTTCCCCCATTTTTTCTGGATTTTCCCCCCATTTTTCTCCCAACTTTCCCTCCAGTTTTCCCCCATTTTTTTCTCCCATTTTCTCCCCTGAATCTCTCCTGATTTTTCCCCAATTTTCCCCCATTTTACCCCAATTTTCCTCCCATTCTCCACAATTTTCCCCCGATTTCCCCCCCCATATTCCCTGAATTTTTCCCAATTTTTTCCCTTTTTTTTCCTCAATTTTTACCCATTTTGTCCACCATATTCCACAATTTTTCCTCATTTTTCCTGATTTTTCCCCCAGTTTATCCTCCACTTTCCCCCCATTCTTCTTCCAGTGTTCCCCATATTTCCCCCAATTTTTCCCTAATTTTTCCCCTGAATTTCTCCCAATCTTCCCCCATTTTTTCCCCAAATTTTCCCCACAATATTTCCTGATTTTTCCCCAATTTCCCCCAAATTTCCCCTAATTTTGCCCCCCCAATTTTCTCCAACATTCTCACAGTTTTCCCCAATTTTTTCCCCCAATATTCCCCCTGATAATTTCCCCCCTTTTTCCCCCCCATTCTTCTCCCAACTTTTCCTGATTTCCCCCCATTTTTCTCCATTTTTTTTTCTCCATTCCTCCTCAATTTTTGCCCATTTTTTTCTCTTTCCCCCCAATTTTCCCTCACTTTTCCCCCAATATTCCCCCGATTTTCCCCCATTCCTCCTCCATTTTCTCCCCTTTTTTTCCCCATTTTTCCCCCAATTTTCCCCCTGATTTTGCCCCCATTTCCCCCCCCCACAGGAGCTGCTCTGTTACAAATATTTTGGGTCGAGTTCGGGCGATTTTGGCCAATTCCGGCCCTTGTGGTCGCGCCGTTTCCCGTCCCCGCTGCTGGCGCTGGAGCCGCTGGACCTGACGGGGGATGGGCTGCAGGAGCTCGCCGTGGTTTGCCTGGGGGGGCTGCACGTGCTGCAGGTGACCCCCCAAAAATAGCCAAAAAAATATCCACAAAAAAATCCCCAAAAGAATCCCCAAAAAAATATCCCAAAAAAATCCACAAAAAAATCCCCAAAAAATCCCCAGAAAAATCCGACAAAAAAATCCCCCGAAAAATCCACAAAAAAATCCACAAAAAAATCCACAAAAAAATCCACAAAAATCTCCAAAAACAGCCCCAAAAATATCCCAAAAATATCCTCCAAAAATCCACAAAAAACCCACAAAAAATTCCACAAAAAATCCACAAAAATATTCACAAAAAAATCCCCAAAAAATCCTCAAAAAAATCCCAAAAAAATCCCCCCAAAAATCCACAGAAAAACCCACAAAAAAAAATCCACAAAAAAGTCCACAAAAAAATCCCCAAAAAAATCCCCCAAAAAAAATCCCCAAAAAAATCCACAAAAAAATCCCCAGAAAAATCCCCCAAAAAATCCCAAAAAGATCCACCAAAATATCCCCAAAAAAAATCCCAAAAAAAATCCAAAAAAAATCCAGAAAAAAAAAATCCAGAAAAAAAAAAAAATCCCCGAAAAAATTCCCCCCAAAAATCCCCAGAAAAATCCACAAAAATCTCCAAAAACAGCCCCAAAAATATCCTCAAAAAAATCCCCAAAATATCCCAAAAAAATCCCCAAAAAAATCCTCGAAAAAATCCCCCAAAAAATCCACAAAAATATGCCCAGAAAAATCCACAAAAATCCACAAAAAATCCCCCCAAAAGATCCCCAAAAATATTCTCAAAAAATCCAAAAATCCCCCAAAAAATCCCCCAAAACAGCCCCAAAAAAACCACAAAAAAATCCACAAAAAAATCCCAAAAAAATATCCCAAAAAAAATCCACAAAAAGTCAACAAAAAAATCCTCGAAAAAATCCCCCAAAAAATCCCCAAACTATGCCCAGAAAAATCCACAAAAAATCCACAAAAAATCCCCCCAAAAAATCCCAAAAAAATCCCCAAAAAATCCCCCCAAAAATCCCCAAAAAACCACAAAAAAATCCACAAAAAATTCCACAAAAAAATCCCCAAAAAATATCCCAAAAAAATCCACAAAAAAATCCCAAAAAAATCCCCCAAAAAATCCCCAAAAAATACCCCAAAAAATCCCCCAAAAATTCCCCAAAAATCCCAAAAAATACCCCAAAAATACCCTCAAAAATCCCCAAAAAGTCCCAAAAAAAATCCCCCCAAAAAATCCCCGAAAACTCACCCTAAATCCCCGATATTTTCCCAAATTCCCCATTTTTTCACCCAAATTTCCCCAATTTTTTCCCCAAATCCCCCAAAACTCACCCTAAATCCCGATATTTTCCCAAATTCCCCCATTTTTTCACCCAAATTTCCCCAATTTTTTCCCCAAATCCCCCAAAACTCACCCTAAATCCCGATATTTTCCCAAAAATTCCCATTTTTTCACCCAAATTTCCCCATTTTCCCCCAGCACAGCCTGGAGCCGACGGCGCGGCTGCTCCGGGAGCGGCTGCGGAGGGAGGTGCAGCAAAAATGGGGCCAAAAACGGCAAAATCGGGAAAAAAACACAGAAAATCGGGAAAAAACCCCGGAAAGTTGGGAAGAAACGGCGGAAAAATGGGCAAAAAACCTGGAAAAACAGGAAAAAAACCCTGGAAAAATGGGAAGAAACCCCGGAAAAATGGGGGAAAAACCTGGAAAAAAGAGAAAAAATGGCAGAAAATTGGGGGAAAAATGCGGAAAATTGGGCAAAAAGCCTGGAAAAGGCCGAGGAGGAAGAGGAGGAGGGGGAGAGCCCCTCCCCCACCCCAAAACCTGCGGAATTCCAATAAAAAATTCCCAAAAAAATTCCGAAAAATGGTGCAAGAATTGCTGGGGGAGCCCCAAAGGGTCCAGGGGGGGATTTGGGGGAATTTTGGGGGAATTTTGGGATTTTGGGGGAGAATTTTGGGATTTTGGGGGAGAATTTTGGGATTTTTGGGGGAATTTGGGGATTTTGGGGGGTCCTGGGGGATTTTGGGGGAATTTGGGGTCTCCAAAAGAGCCTGGGGGGGTCCTGAGGGGATTTTTGGGGGATTTGGAGGAATTTTGGGGGAATTTCAGAGAATTTGGGGTCCCCATAAGGCTCCGGGGGGGATTTTGGGGGAATTTTGGGCGGGATTTGGGGATTTGAGGGATTTTGGGGTCCCCAAAAGGGTCTGGGGAATCCTAAAGGGATTTTTGGGGGAATTTTGGGGGAATTTTGGGGGGATTTGGGCTCCCTGGATGAATTTTGGGCTCCCGGTTTTTTTTTTTTTTGGGTTTTTTTTTGGTGTTTTTTTTTTGGGGGGGGGGGTCCCGAGGGCGTTTCCAGGGTGGGGGCGGGGCCGTTCCCGCCCCTCCCCCCCGGCTCCGCCCCCTCCCCCCCCCCCCCCCCCCCCCCCCCATGGAGCTTTAACGGCGGCGGCGGCGCGAGCGGACCCGAGGGGGAACAGGTAGGAGGGGGGAGGGGGGGGGGACCCCAACCCCCCCCCCCCCCCGGAGCCCCCCAAAACCTCCCACCACCCCCCCCGCCCCTCCCCCACCCCCGGAACCCCCCCCCCCCCCCCGCCCCTCCCCCCGCGGTTTTTGGGGGCGAATCGGCGAAATTGGGGAGGGGGCGCGGGGGGGGGGGGGCGCTCACAAGGGGTGGGGGAGGGGAAGGATGAACCCCCCCCCCCACCCCCAACCCCTCCCCCACCCTCGGAGCCCCCCCCGAAATTCCCCAAAAATTCGCCGGAATTGGGGAAAAAAAAAAAAAAAAAAAAAAAAAAATTCCGAGGGTTGGAACAGGTGGGTGGGGGGGGGGGAGGGGGGGGCAGCGCTTCCCTGGATTCCGCCCGAATTCCCCGAAATTCACCCCAAAATTCCCGCGGGTGTCCCCCCCCAACATTCCCAGATTTCCCCCCAAAATTCCTCACTCCCCCTCCCCCCTCCCGTTTTTCCCGGATTTCACCCCAAAATTCGCATCCCCACCCCCCCAAAATTCCTCATTTTTCCCCCCGAAATTCCCACAGGTTTCCCCCCAAAATTCCCCTTTTTTTCCCGGATTCCTCCCCAAAATTCCCAATTTCTTCCCCCCCGAATTTCCCCCCGAAATTTCCATTTTTCCCCAAAATTTCCCATTTTCCCCTCGAAATTTCCCATTTCCCCCCCGTTTTTCCAAATTTCCCCCCCAAATTCCTGATTTTAAAAAAAATCCCCATTTTCCCCCTAAAATTCTCCATTTTCTTCCCAAAATTCTTCATTCTTCCCCAAAAATTCCCCATTTTCCTTCTAAATTCCCCATTTTTCCCCCTAAATTCCCAATTTTTCCCCCAAATCCCCCCAAAATCTCCCCCGACCCCACTCAAATTCCCCAAATTCCCCAAAATTCCCCCAAATTCCCCCAGATTCCACCAAAATCCCTTGGATTTTCTGCCAAAATCCCCAAATTCCCCAAAATTCCCCCAAATTCCCCCAAATCCCCTCAATTTCTCCCCCAATTTCCCTCAAATTCCTGAAATTCTCCCAGATTTTCTCCCAAATCCCTCAATTCTCCCAAATTTTTCATTTTTTCCCTAAAAGGTTCAAAATTCTCCCAAATTTCCCCAAAATTTCCCTCAGTTCCCTCAAATCCTCCACGTTTGGGCTGAAATCCCCAAAATTCTCCCAATTTCGTCGTTTCTCCCTCAAAATCCCCACAAATCCCCCACAAATTCTCCACATTTTGGCCCAAATTCCTGCAGATTTCCCGAATTTTCCCCAAATTCTCTGAAATCACCCCAAAATTCCCCCGATTTTCCCCCAATTCCTTCAAATCTCCCCCAAACTCCCCGAATTTCCCTCAAATCCCCCTCAAAAACCCCAAAATTTCCCCCGAATTTCCCTCAAACCCCTCAATTCCCAAAAATCTCCCCCCGAATTTCCCAAATGCCGGCGAATTTCCCCCAAAATTCTGCCCCAAATCCCCGAAATTCCCCCCAAATTCCCCTTTTTTCTCCCCCCCCCCGTCGGAAAAATCGGATTTGTTCTAAATCCCGGCTTTTCCCCCAAATCCGCCGCTTCTCAAATCCGCCAGAAAAAAAAAAAACACAAAAAACCACAAAAACCACAAAAATCCGCATTTTCCAGGGAAAGCCCGGCGGGATTTGGGTCGGTGCTGCTCCAAAAAAGGGAATTTTGGGGGAATTTCCCGGAATTTGGGATCGCCCGGGCCCGGCGGGGTTGGGAATTTTGGGATCTCGGGGCCAAAATCCGGGGGAAAATCCCGGGAAATTGGGAAAATCCTCGGGATGGAGGAAAATCCCCCAAAGTGGGGCGAATCCTGAGGGATTTGGGGAAATCCCCGCGTGGCCCCGCGGGGTTTGGGGTTAATGAATTCATTAATGAGGGGGGAGCGAGGGGCGTTAATTGGATTAATTGGGGGGGGAGGAGCGCGGGGGGGGAGGGAAGGGGAGGGGGATGTGGGGGAAAAATGGGGAAAAAATGGGGAAAAATGGGGAAAATGGGGCAGGAAAAGGGGCATAAATGGGGCAGGAATGGGGCAGGAAAAGGGGCAAAAATGGGGTAGGAAATGGGGGCGGGAATGGGGCGGGAATGGGGCCAGTTTGGATCTGTGGGGGCCGGTTTGGATCTCTCTGGTTCTGGTTCAGATCCGTGGGTCGGTTGTGGATCTGTGGGGCTGGTTTGGATCTGTGGGTCAGGGATCCGTGGGTCAGGGATGGATCTGTGGGTCAGGGTGGGATCTGTGGGTCCGGTTCAGATCTGTGGGTCCAGTTTTGGATTTGTGGTCCAGTTTGGATCTATGGGGTCTGGTTTGGATCTGTGGGTCTGGTTCAGATCCATGGGGCTGGTTCGGATCTGTTCTGGGTCAGTTTTGGATCCATGGGTCAGGGATCCATAGATCAGGGATGGATCCGTGGGTCAGGTTTGGATCCATGGGTCAGGGATCCATGGGTCAGTTTTGGATCTATGGGGCCGGTTCAGGTCTATGGGGCTGGTTTGGATCTGTGGGTCCCGTTTGGGTCCGTGGCTCTGGTCCGGGTCCACTTTGGATCTATGGGTCCCGTTGGGATCCATGGGTTCAGGTCTGGATCTATGGGGCCAGTTGGGATCCATGGGTCAGTGTTGTATCTATGGGGTCAGTGTTGGACCTGTGGGGCCGGTTCGGATCTATGGGGCCGGTTTGGATCCATGGGGCCGGTTGGGATCTGTGGGGTCAGTGTTGATCCGTGGCTCTGGTTCGGATCTGTGGGTCAGTGTCAGATCTATGGGTTCAGGTTCGGATCCATGGGTCAATGTTGGATCCGTGGGTCCGGTTGGGATCCATGGGTCAGGTTCGGATCTATGGGGTCAGTGTTGAATCTATGGGGTCAGTGCTGGATCCATGGCTCCGGTCAGATCTATGGGGTCGGTGGGATCTGTGGGTCAGGTTGGGATCCGTGGGTCAGGTTCGGATCTATGGGTTCAGGTTCGGATCTATGGGGTCCGGTTCGGATCTATGGGGTCAGGTTCGGATCTATGGGGCCGGTTCAGATCTATGGGGTCAGTGTTGGATCCGTGGCTCCGGTTCGGATCTATGGGTCAGTGTTGGATCTATGGGTTCAGGTTCGGATCCATGGGTCAATGTTGGATCCGTGGCTCCGGTTCGGATCCATGGGTCAGGTTCGGATCTATGGGGTCAGTGTTGTATCTATGGGGTCAATGTTGGATCTATGGGGTCAGTGCTGGATCCATGGCTCCGGTTCAGATCTACGGGGTCGGTTGGGATCCATGGGTCAGTGTTGTATCTATGGGGTCAGTGCTGGATCCGTGGCTCCAGTTGGGATCTATGGGTCCGGTTGGGATCCATGGGTCAGTGTTGTATCTATGGGGTCCGGTTCGGATCTATGGGGTCAGTGCTGGATCCGTGGCTCCGGTTCAGATCTATGGGTCCGGTTCGGATCCATGGGTCAGGTTCGGATCTATGGGTTCAGGTTCGGATCTATGGGGTCAGTGTTGGATCTATGGGGTCAGTGTTGGATCTATGGGGTCCGGTTGGGATCTATGGGGTCAGTGCTGGATCCGTGGCTCCGGTTCGGGTCCGGGGGTTCCGGGGGGGTTTCGGGTGCGGGGGCGGCTCCGGCTCCTCCTTGGCAACCGCGCGGTTTCCATGGAAACGGGGATGGAGGAGGGAGGGGGAGGGGGAGGGACCCGGAGCCGGGGGGGAGGGGGAGGGGGGAGGGGGAGGGAGGAGGAGGAGGAGGAGGAGGAGGAGGAGGAGGAGGGGCCGAACCGGAGCCGAGGATCCGAACCGGACCCACGGATCGGAACCGGCCCCATGGATCCCAACCGGCCCCATAGACCCCGAACCTGACCCATAGATCCGAACCGGCCCCATAGACCCGAACCTGACCCACGGATCTGAACTGGACCCATAGACCCGAACCGGACCCACGGATCGGAACCGGCCCCATAGACCTGAACCTGACCCACAGATCCGAACTGGACCCACAGATCCATCCAACCTCATATCCCAGCCCAATATCCCTGACCCCCCCATCCCTGATCCCATTTCCTCTTGCAGGCTCCTTGTGGGGCGCCGTGGCTGTGCCCACACCCCACATCCTGAACCCAAATCCCAAATCCCCTGACCCAAACCCCAAATCTCCCGTCCCGCAGGCTCCTCGAGGGGCGCCATGGCTGTGCCCCCGCATCCACATCCCAAATCCCAAATCCCCTGACCCAAACCCCAAATCTCCCTCCCCGCAGCTCCTCGAGGGGCGCCATGGCTGTGCCCCGCATCCCACACCCCACACCCCATATCCCAAATCCCCTAACCCAAAGCCCACATCCTGACTCCAAACCCCCTATCCTGATCCCAAACCCGACATCTCCACACCCCACATCCCAAACCCCACAGTCTGACCCCAAATCTCCCATCCCACAGGCTCCTCGAGGGGCTCCATGGCTGTGCCCCGCATCCCACATCTCCACACCCCACATCCCAAACCCCACAGTCTGACCCCAAATCTCCCGTCCCGCAGGCTCCTCGAGGGGCGCCATGGCGGCGCTGGGCCCGGCGCTGGCGGCCTGGCTGCTGCTGAGCCCTCGGGCTGCTCGGCGGCGGCCCCGGCGATCACCGACGGCCCCAACGGACGTGTCACGGCGGCTCGGCGCGGTGCCAGCCCGGCGTGCTCCTGCCCGTGTGGCAGCCGGACGAGCCGGCGGCGGGCGACAAGGCGGCGCGCGCCATCGTCTACTTCGTGGCCATGATGTACCTGTTCCTGGGCGTGTCCATCATCGCCGACCGCTTCATGGCCTCCATCGAGGTGATCACGTCGCGCGAGAAGGAGATCACGGTCACCAAGGCCAACGGCGAGACCAGCGTGGGCACGGTGCGCATCTGGAACGAGACCGTCTCCAACCTGACGCTGATGGCGCTGGGCTCCTCGGCGCCCGAGATCCTCCTGTCGCTCATCGAGGTGTGCGGGCACCGCTTCCAGGCCGGCGAGCTCGGCCCGGGCACCATCGTGGGCAGCGCCGCCTTCAACATGTTCGTGGTGATCGCCCGTGTGCGTCTACGCCATCCCGGCGGGCGAGAGCCGGCGCATCAAGCACCTGCGCGTCTTCTTCGTCACGGCCTCGTGGAGCATCTTCGCCTACATCTGCTCTACCTCATCCTGGCCGTCATCACGCCGGCGT